TTTGAGCTCTGCACCCTGAGAAGGAGTTACATGGTCTCATAAATCTGGATTCCTGCACCCTGAGGAGGAGATACAGGGTCTCATAAATCTGCCATGGGGCTGATAAACAGAATGCTCTCAAGATTGTTTCCCCCCATAAGAGTCAAACAGACCAGCTCATTGAAGAGAGCCTGTGTGTGCAAATCCACAACCAATGGAAAGAACCCACCTAACCCTTACCCTAAGCCAGAGTTAAAGCATCCATAAAAAAGACCCAGCCTTCACCTCAGCTGGGAGCCGCTGGTTTCTGGGCTCCACTGCACTGCTCTAGCTGTACCCTTTTCTTTCTCTAATAAATCCTACTTTGTGTGCTGACTTTGTTGTCCCATGAGTCAATCTGCTGCCTCACGAGCCACTTCTTTGGCCTGTGATGGCAAGAACCCTTAACACCAGCCCACAACATAACCCAGGTTGGTTATGTGGGCTAAAGCAATCCTCCCACCTCAGCCCCCTCACAGCCCCCTCACGTAGCTGGGGTAGTACCAGTCATTGGTCACGATGCCAGGACTATGAGTATTTAAAGTAGCCCTTGATTTTTTTTCTTTCCTTCTTTCTTTCTTTTTTTTTTTTTTGGTGGTATTGGAGTTTGAACTCATGGCTTCCCACTTGCTGAGGCAGGCACTCTACCACTTGAGCCACTCCACCAGCCCTAAAGAAGGTCTTGTTAAGTCCACCAAAGTTTCTTTTTTCTTTCTGCTTTCTTCCTTTCTCTCCCTTTTCTTTCTTCTTTTGCCTATTGCACATGACTACAATCTTGTTATTCATACTTTACACTGTCAATGACTTCTAAAAAGATTTAAACAATAACAAAGTGTCTTTTTTTTTTCTTTTGGCAGCACTGGGGCTTGAATTCAGGGTCTCATGCTTGCTAGGCAGGTGCTCTACCACTTGAGGCATTCTACCAGCCTTTGTGTGTGAGTGTGAGTGTGTGTGTGTGTGTGTGTGTGTGTGTGTGTGTGTGTGTGTGTGTGTGGGTTTTTTCAAGCAGGGTCTCAGGAACTGTTTGCTAGGGGCTGACTTTGAAACTTGATCCTCCTGATCTCTTCCTCCTAAGTAGCTAGGATTACAGGTGTGAGACACTTGAGCTCAGCCAAAATGACTTTGTTTGCTGAGACTGAGATTTGAATTCAGGGTTTCAAGCTTGCAAAGCAGGCTCTCTAAGGCTTGAACCACACCTTCAATCCATTTTACTCTGGCTATTTTGGAGATGAGATCTGTTGAACTATTTCAGGCTGGGCTTGAGCCTGAATCCTCCCTATCTCAGTCCCCCAAGTAGCTAGGATTACAGGCATGAGCCACCAGCACCCAGGACAATTTGTGTTTTATTAACCCACGTATTTCTCATTTCCTTTGTTAATATCCAAAGCTTGTTTCATTCCTCCCCCCCTCCCCATTTTTTTTTTTTTGGTGGCACTAAGGTTTGAACTCAGGGCCTCATGCTTGCTAGGCAGGTGCCTAGCAAGGCAAGCCCCAAAGCTTGTTGCACCCTCTTGCCTCAGTGATCTCTTTCCTGTAGAACAAGTATTCTGATTATAAATTCTTTCACTTTTGCTGATTTGGAGGAGGGGCCTTGTAACAATGGGGAAAGGTACAGCAACAAATGGCTCCCATGCAGTGACAAGAAAGTTAGCAGGGCTGATGGAGTTGTTCAAGTGGTAGAACAAATGAAGAACACTTTACCATCCCATCCTTTCTCTGGAAGTCACAACCTTCAGTAGCATCCAGATTTCCAAAATACCTGCATCAAAGAGATTCTGCTGGTGAAATTGTTTTCTAGGTGGGGAGATAGATTTCTTACAATTCTTTATTTGTTGAGGGGGGGAGTGGCATTTGAACTCAGTGCTTTGCACTTGCAAAGCAGACACTCTACAGTTTGAGCCACATCTCCAGTCCATTTTGCTATGATTATTTTGGACATGGGGTCTTGTAAACTATTTGCCTGGTCTCCTCTTGAACAGTGAGTGATCCTCTTGATTTTAGCCTCCCAAGTAGTTCAAACCCCAGTACTGCCTCCCGCCAAACAAAAGAAGGAAAGGAAAATGTAAGCAAATTGTGTAGACTCAGCTGTAGTTCTATTAATTGTATCCCCTATATAATAAAATATTTCAAATCACCACATTGAACCATTTTCTGGAAATAAAAAGGCAGTAATCCTCCCTATTTGTGAAAAGGATATTGTTATTATCCACTCATACTCATTGGGTGTGGATTTCTCAGTGTTGTTCTAAGACCCTTGATGTTTACAACAGGTGACAATCAGTTCAGACTTTTCTGTGTGTCTTCAGTGAAAAGGTGGTATGAATAGCTAGGGAGAATGGGAACAAATAAAAGGGCCATGGTCCTCACCCAAAGTATTACAGGCTATCCTGGAAGACAGTTTCAAAGAAGAAATGAGGATACATGAGAAAGCCTCAGGGTGTTCAATCAGGGAACAGTTAAGATGGCATTAAGTGGAAAAACATTAATGCAGAGTTTAGGATTTAGCTGCAGAAATTACTGGCTACATAACTGGGGATGTAAGTGGTGCTCAAATTACTTTTGCTGAACTGACTCCTTAGTTGAGCACACCAATTAACTAAAAACAGGAGAAGCTTGGCATCCCTGCCTCCATGCTCTAAGTCATTCTCTTTACAGTCACTTTGCAATCACCTTGTTTTCCAAAAAGGACAGAACTGATAACATCTTTAGGACAAGGGACTGAAACACCCATAAGGAACAGTGGAGAGCTGTAGGACAGGCCACCTCTCCAAATGAGGACAATTACCTATAATGATGAGACTGTAGTCTGGAGTAGGAGCAGTCACCTCATGGAACCAGATTGCTCCCCTCAAGTGGTGATAGCAATAACATCTCTGGAACCTCTCTGGGAACCCTTGGACTGAGATAATGGTCAACCAGAACACACCTGTGACTGACACTGTTTAGCTATTCATACCTTTTGTCCCCTGTCCCCAGTTCTTTTATCTTAAACCTATAACTCATGTCTGTACCCGAAGATGACTGAAGATGAGCTGAGTTTTACTCTGCCTCTTCCCGTGGCATGTCCCAAGCCATGTAATAAATCTCCTGTCTTTGCCTTCACCTCGCCTCTTTACTTGGCATTTAGGGACTGGTGGCCAGACCTGGCATATGGAATCTCAGGAGTTTGGGTCTTGGGTCTAAAACTCCTGTTTCAGAGGTGGGATTAGGACAAAGGGAGAGTTTCAAATGGGTAAACCAGAAATGTAATAACTCACTCCCCAGCATAGAATACCTAGTGACAACCATGAAGCCAATGAAGTAGTAGAAAAGGAGAATATAAATTCAATTCCTTGGGGGTGGGGTGGGACTGGGATTTGAACTCAGGGCTTGTGCACTTGAAAGCAGGCTCTCTACTGCTTGAGCCACACTTCCAGTCTATTTTGCTCTAGTTATTATAGAGATGGGATCTTGGGAACTCTTTGCCCAGATTGGCTTTGAACCTCGATCCTCCTGGTCTCAACCTCTGGTGTAATTAGGATTAAGAGTGTGAGTTTTTTCAAAATAACTATCTGCCATTAAAAAAAATCCAATTTACTCTCCTATTTGAAGCTTAAACACAGGATAATGCTGGGTCTTTATTCAAATAATGTGACTGAGATTTTTTTTTTGTCTTTTTTTTTCTGTTTTTCTTAGTGTTTTGTCTCTATTAAATCATCGGTATTGATATAAAGCAGGTGAATAGCGTGCAATGAGGAGCAAAGCCCATTTGAGTCTGCAAAGAGAGGGCAATGAGGTCCCCTTGGTGTGTCCCTCCACTTTAGTTGGTATTCAGATGCTCAAAACAGGGATAGGAGTGATGACAGTGAGAAGCTGTAGAGCCCTGGGAAACACGTGGAAACCCACATGCCAGATGCGTTTGGGGGTTCTGTCCTTTCTGAAGTTGCAACTCTGGTGGAATTTGCCATTTTCTGGGCAGCTTTGGTTTTGACATGCAGAGTGTTTCCAGAGTCAATGTAATTTCTGACCTGTGAAGGTCAGGCCTAGAGAATGTCATGTAAGCAGTCTCCTGCACGAATGATGTATGTATTTTACAGATTCTTTAAGTCGGAACCCTGATGTGCCTTCAGGTGAGTGTCCCTCTGGTGAATATTAAGGCATTGAATGGAGTGGTTTCCCACGGGGAGGAGAAGGACATCAGGGCTGAGTGATTGCACCTAAGACTGATGGACTCTGGGACTCCATTTCAGCGTTCAGTGTCTCGCTCAAGTTTGAGAATGTGCTTTACATTCTGAGTGCGGGTTTTCATTGTGTGTGCCTGGGGTGAAGCAGGCTGCTTGTCTGAGCTGGTTCAGAGTTGTTTGTGTGCGTGTGTTTTTTAAAAACTTTGCTCTTGAATCCTTTGTACTGGTGAGAAAGCTAGTTTTTCCTTGTAGTTAATAATTTAATCCCCCTGTTGGCATGTTATTACTTTCTTGGCTGATGATGTGTAGACTGAGAGATCAGGTTGGAGACATTCTTGTCCATGAAGCCAAGTGCCAGATCCCAAGTTCCTGAAGTGTGACAGCACCAGGCCTTTTGTCCTGGTCCAGTGAGGCCACACCTAGGCCAGGCACCGCTACTTTTCTGAGATCAGGGGCTGTCTCCTTAGGACACGGAGTGGTGAATTCCTTCAGCAGGCTCCTGGTCTATTTTCCTGATGGAAAAAGCAGCGTCCTCTTTGAAGTGCCAGGAGCAGGTTCTGTTTAATACAATGAATCCGCAGGATGCACTGCACAGGGACTAGAGAGGCGGCCTGTCCTGCAAAGGGGTGTGGCTGGCATCAGTTACCTGGTCCACACTCAGTGGGAGGTAGACAAATCTCTTTTCCTGTCATTCAGGTGCTAGGGGATGGGGCCTGGATTTCTAGCCAATCAGAAGCGGAGAGGGGCGGGAGCTGTACTGACTGTCCAATCAGAGGCCAGCAGGAGGAGGAGCCGCTTTTTAGCCTGCAGGCTGCGTTTTTTTTCTGGCGCCGCCATTATCGCAATGGCACGGGAGGTGGTGAGAGAGACTGCACGGCTCTCCCGCTGTGATCTGCGTGTGCCGCCGGGGCGGTCGGAGGACCCGGGTGCCCGTAGGAGGCGGAAATGGTGAGTGTGACCGGAGTCCCCAGATGATGAGGTTGGAACCGGCCTGAAGTGGCTGTGACAGACCTGGCGTCCCCACGGGAGCTCCGGAGTCTGGGGCCCAAGTCGCCGCTAGCGTGGCCCTCGGTCCCCGGACTGGGGCTGGGTGCCCGGGCGTGACCCTGGCGTCCTGTCCTCTACCTACGGGCGACGCGGCCCAGGTGCGGAGCCCTCTCAGGGCAGCTCCCGCGCCCACCCGAGCCTCGCGTGTCCCCAGACTGCGGTGACGGGGTGCCAATGTCGTTGGGGCTCAGGTGGAAAGGGAGACACCGAGGTGGGGCTTGAGGTTGTCCTTGGGCATAATCGTTGTCATGCTTGACCTGTGTGTCACAGGGTTTACGAACGAAGCGCAGGTGGAGGCGGGACAGCCCCGAGTGCAAGGTCCGCACGGTCTCACGCGCGAGGCCGAGCAGGGCTGTGCTTTCCGGGGAGGAGCGAACAAGGGGGGAAAGAAGGGGGAGAGGAGGGGCTACAGGTGGGCTGGGGATCTTGGGGTCGTGTCAGGCTTTTGTCTGGGGTTGGGATCAAAGAATTGAGCCCAGAGAGTAGCAAAGCGGCAAGGTTTATTGAAAGCGAGAGTAATTCCTTTAAAGGAGAAACGATGTCTGGGGGTCTTTTATGTGGTTTTGGTGCGGCTGTAGGGAAACACCTGGCCTTCTTTGCAGGTGGGGCTGGGCGATTCGCAGATTTGACTGACAGCCAGATGTCATATCACTTATTTCTGACTAAGCCTGCCCCTGTCCATAATTCACTCTAGTTATATGCATGAGATGCAAGTAATATTTATGAAGTCCTAGGTAGAGAAAAGCACCTGAAAGTTACCAAAGGCTACAGTTGGGCTACAGGATGCATGCTTTCAGAACTGGTTGGAACCGGTTTTTCTCACTCCCCTCTGCAGGATGCAAGGTACCACAAGCACTGCAGTGTTAAAGACAAAAGAGGCGGTCCTGGATGGTCTGGGGGAGGTTCAGATGTTATCTCCCCAACTAGTATGCACATTGACCCTGTAAGTTCCGGACCCCTGTCTCACCTAGACAGTGTTTATGAAATACAGATGGAGTGGGGACCTTAGCTTATTGAAAGGAGGTTGTCAGTGGTGGGGCGACCAAAGGGCAAGGCCTAGCAACACTGCTTTCTAGGGAGGAGCAAACAGGAGGAGAAAGAAGGGGGAAGAGGAGGGCGATGGAGGGGCAGCATCAGCTTCTGGGACAGAAGACATGTCCCTGAGGTCACCTGTCCTTAGGGTGACATAAAGGAGGGGTTATGCTGGCTTAGGCTAAGGGTAGTCAGATCAGAGACCTGGAGGGGGAGACAAACTTCAGGAAAGTTTGCTTAGTGTTTTGTTTCTGCTGATCAGTTTAGCTAATAATTTTTTGAGACAGTAAGTGGGAAATTGGAGTGTGTGCCTTAGCTTGTTGTAGGTTCAAAAAGGAAGGAACTCTAAATGTAATGGTGTACTCTAAGGGATTTGCTGGGCTTTTATAGGGTGGGGGGCAAGGGTAGAGGTCCACCCCTGGGGACTTCCCTAGGATAATTAGCTCATAATTGGCAGGGTGATTGACAGGTTCCTGCAGTTTCCTATGCACATTTCTGGGATTGCCATTCCATAATTTTAATGTTATGCATGAGATACATATGAGGTTTTTAATAGGGAGAAACCACCTAAAAGTTTAGGTTAAGGACAGAAGTGCTGTTTCTGTGCATGGTTTACAGTCTGGTGAGAGCTTTATCTTTTTTTGTTGTTGTTGTTACTGGAGTTTGAACTCAGGGCCTATACTTTGAGCCACTCCACCAGCCTTTTTTTTTGTGATGGTTTTTTTGAGATAGGGTCTTGCAAACTATTTGCCTAGGCTGGCTTTGAACTTCAGTCCTCCTGATCTCTTCCTCCTGAGTAGCTAGCTAGTATTACAGATGTGAGCCAGTTGCACCCAGCTTGCTCTGCTTATTTTGGAGATGGGGTCTGGAGAACTATTTGCCCAGGTAGACCTTGAACCTCAGCCTCAGTTCTGATCTCAGCCTCCCAAGTGGCTGGGCTTATAGGCATGAGCCACTGGCACCCAGCTTCTACCTATTTCTTGTGTGTAATATTATTGATATCTTTTGTCATTATTTTTCTGTGCTTGATTTCAGATTATCTTGCTCTCATTTATATGGATTTATGAAATCCAATGTAGACCACTGAGTTCAGATCTTTGTCTTTTTTTGTAGTGCTGGCATTTGAACTCACTCAGGGCCTAACACTTCCTAAGCAGTCATTCTGCCACTTGAGACACTCCACCAGCCCTTTTTTGTAATGGTTTTTTTCAACATAGGGTCAGATGAGCTTTTTGCCTGGGCTGGTCTCAAACTGTGATCCTTCTGATCTCTGTGTCCTGAGTAGCTAGGATTATAGGCCTGAGCCACCAGCACCCAGCAAGGTCTTTCTTTTCTAGTGTTTGCATTCATTGCTTTTAAGTTTCTCCTCATGAACCGCTTTTTCTGCACAAAAGAAAAAGATCTGTGCTCATTGCACTTAGGAGGTGAAGGCACAGGATTAGAAGATTCAGGCCACTTGGACTACATAAGAGGACCCCATCTTGGAAAAAAACCCAAAAAGATACAGGATCATTTTCAAATACATAACATCTTTTGAGACTTCCCTTTCACATGTGTCATTTCAAAGTTCAAAATTTAATCCATTCCTTGGAGGTTTTCCAATTATGATTGCATTATTAATTTCCAGTTTAATTCCTATGTGGTATGAAAGCATGCCTTACATGGTTTCTATTCCTTTAGGTTTTTAAGGACTATTATTATTTTGGGGGCTTGAACTCAGCCTCACACTTACTAGGCAGGCACTCTACCACTTGTGCCACTCCATCAGCCCAAGGACTGTTTTGTTGTTTTGTTTTGTTTTTCTTGACACAGGGTCTGAATGAATAGACCAAGCTTGCCTGAAACTCATCATCCTCCTGCTTCCCCTCCTGAGTCCTGGGATTACAGGCGTGCACCACTACACTACTCCTGGCAAGGTAGATTTTGTAGCTCAGAATGCAGTCTGGGTTGGTGAATATCCTTTGTGATCTTGATAAGAGTGTGTATTCTGCAGTTGAATGAAATATACTGCAATATCACATAACTCCATTGGAGGGTGATGCTATTGATTTCAACTATGTGATTGCTAATTTTCTCTTTGGGCTGTCAATTTCTGGTACAGGTGTATTGAAGTCCTCTGATTTAATTGTGGGTCTGTGAATTTTCCTTCTATTGAATTTTTTTTTTTTTGCCTCATGTGGTTTCATGCTGTGTTTAGGGGATACATATTAAGGAACATGTCTTCTTGAAAGAACTGAGGGCTTTATCATTGTCTTTATGCCTTGCTATTTTCTTTGGGGTATAGCTTGATTAGTCTCAAATTTATAGAGCCTCCAAAGAGCTTTTGGATTATTGCTAGAATGAAGTCTCTCTCTGCATAGCTTTGTATTTAATCTCTTTGTCTTGGGCTTTTTTTTTTTTTTTTTTTAGTGGGGCTGGAGTTTGAACTAGGGACTTCAAGGTTTAGGTGCTCTTCTGCTTGAGCCACATCTGTAGGTCATTTTTGCTCTGGACACTTTGGAGGTGGGGTCTTTCAAACTATTTCCCTGGGCCAGTCTCAAATGGAGATCCTCCAATCTCTTGACTTCCAAGTATCTAGGACTACAGACATGAGACATCAGCACCAAGCTGATTTTTTTTTTTTTTTTGGTGGCACTGAGGCTTGAACTCAGGGCCTACACCTTGAATTGAGCCACTCCACCAGCCCTTTTTTGTGATGGGTTTTCTTGAGATAAGGTCTTGCAAACTATTTGCCTATTTGCTGGGGCTGACTTCTTCTAGATCTCTGTCCCCTGAGTAGCTAGGATTACTGGTTTGAGCCACTGGGCCCATTTTATGTGATTGTTTTGTATTTTCCATTTTTATGTATTTTCTCTCCTCCATTATGATATGAAGTATACTTGTTTCCTAAATTTTTAAAAGTAATTTCACAGCATTAGCAATATCTATTTGCGAGTAATGTGAATCTAAATTAAAATAACATTATAATAGACTGGAGGTGTAGCTCAAGCAGTAGAGTTCCTGCCTAGCAAGCACAAGGCCCTGAGTTCAAACCCCAGTACTACCAAAAAAAACCCAAAAAACATGTTACTCCTTCCCATCCCATATGCAGTTACTATAGCTCATTTTCTGTATCAGGAACTATAAGCACCCAGTACTTTGTTGGTATTACCAGTTTGAAAGAATGTTTATTTGTTAATACAGATAAGAACAAAGAAAGTAAAGACTTCTTGTGCTTCTATTTATTTTCCAGCACTGATTTATTTATGTGATCAGAGTTCTTAAATGCTTCTTTCTGAAGAACTTTTCAATAATTTTTCTCTTTTTTGGAGGAATTGGGGTTTGAACTCATGGCCTCACACTTGCTAGGTAGGCTAGGTAGATGCTCAATCACTTGAGCCACTCTGCCAGTTCTTTTTTTTGTGTGTGGTGGGTATTTTTGAGATAGGGTCTTGTGAACTAATTGCCCCAGGGCTGGCTTTGAATTCAGATCCTTCTCAGCTCTGCCTCCTGAGTAGCTAGGATTATAGGTGTGAGCCACTGGCACCTGGCTCAATAATTCTTGAAATGCAGACATACTGTTAATACATTCTCTCAACTTTATTCCATTTTTTTCTCTAGACTACATCGTTTCAGTTCTTTTCATGCGTTATTTGATTGTTATGCTTGCTCAAATTCTTTGGAATACTTACAGTGATGGTTTTATTTGTAATACTTTAAACTTACATTTTGTGTGTGTGTGGTTCTAGGATTTGAACTCAGGGTGCTTCTCACTTGCAAAACAGATGCTGGCACTCTACCACTTGAGTCACACCTCCAGTCTATTTTGGATATGGGGTCTTGAGAACTATTTGCCCAGGCTGGCCTTGAAACCACAGACCTGTCAAGTA